GAAGATGACACCTTGGTAGGTTTCAAGAGGAGTCGGTCCTTGTCGATAGGCCCTCTACATAGGACACTGGAGGCAGCACGAGAGCTAATAGAGTTGACCACGAGCTCGTCCTCACTGCCGCTAGGGCAACGAGATCATCCCTGAGCCTGTACCGCGTCGATGGCACTAAAAGCTTTGCCTCACTGTGCTTGGCACTGAACAAACTTACAGAAAAAAGAGAGCTCCTGCGCTGAAAAGTTTAAACAGAGGCCTCCAGACAGGATGAGGCTTGGTCAAGTGACGTAGTAGACCAGTGGAATAAGACCTCAGGTCTCCTAATTTCCATGTTTTGTCTGCTAGACTGCACTGCTGAGCAACTGTGTTCAACAGCCTTAGAGGAAGACTTGCTGGAAGCACATACTACAATCCCAAGAGGATTGTGTCTCTCCTTTATCCTTCTCTGGCAAATAAATTGAACCATATACAATTGATGGTTTGTAGGCCCTTAAATTCCAAAATATTTTCTGGTCACAAAATATCCCCAGGCTCTTTCTGTAAGAGTTGAGGTTTGCCCCACTGTCAGTGACCAAATTCCAGATCTGCCTTCTGGATTCTCAAAACACTTTCAGGCAGATGCATTCTTCCTCTTGTCCTAAACTGTTGGGGTTAATTAGTGTAAATCCGTGTCCGTGGTCACCAACCCATCGATTGCAATCGACTGGTCAATCGCGAGGCCTCGACCTGTCGATTGCGAGGCGTTCGGGCACTCCCACCCCCGAGAAGCCCCACTACCTACCTCTAGTGTAGTGCCGGCTTCCCGCGGGGTGGACGGAAGTCCTGTCTGAAACCTGCGTCACTTCCGGGGGTTCCGGAACTGCGCGGGCTGCTCCCCTCCCACAGCTCTGTTGCGTGCTGGGGGAGGGGGCATCGGCCCTGGAGGAGGAGTGCGGTGGCTTCCCTGCGCCGCCAGCTCTGGAGGGGTGAGTCAAGCACGGGTTTCTCTGTGCTGCGGGAGCGGGGGTCAGCCCCGGGGTTTGGCCGCGCTGCGGGAGGGGAGGGGCTTGGCTGGGCTGGGCCGCATTGCGGAAGGGGGTTTTGGCCCCGGGGCAGGTGCCCGCAGGGGTTGGCTGGGCTGCAGGAGGAGAGGAGAGGGTCAGGTCAGGCTGTGCCGTGCTGTGCCGTGCCATGGGAGGGGGGGTTTGACCTCGGGGAAGGCGCCCACGGGGCTTGGCCATGCTGCAGGAGGGGGTTTGGCCCTGCCGCGGGAGCGGGGGTTGGCCCTGGTGCAGGCACACGTAGGATTTCCCTGCGCTGGGGGGGGGGGGGGTTCGGGCCCGGAGCTCAAGAGAAAACGGAGGTAGTGTCGGCTTCAGAAGTCCCACAGCTTAGCGCCACTTCCGGCAATTCCAGAAGTGCGCTCGCTGCTCTGCCGGCCCCCTGCACTGCACAGGAGGGGTGAGTCAGCCCCGCGGGAGGCTCGCAAGGGGGTTTCCCGGCACGCGCGGGGGTTGGCCCCGGGGCAGGCGTGCACTGGTTTCCCTGGGGGGGGGGGAATGCTGGGAGGAGGGAGATGCAGGGGACTCTCTGCCTCCACTTGCATTCCACTCTCCTGTCCTCACTCCCCTGTCCTCAACTACAGAATGCTGTCCCCATTCCTGTCCCCACTCCTTGAACTCTGTCCCCACTGGCACCCTGTCCCCTGCTGCAGAACCCTGTCCTCTGCCCTCCTAGCACCCTGTTCCCTCTCCCCTGCCCCCAGAACTCTCTCCCCAAATGTATAATTATAAATGCTTCATTTTAGATTTAAATAGTATGAATAAAAAATAGACCATTTATTTCATAACTGTAAACACATGATTTTAATTTTATATATTGCATAATTTAAAAATAAACTGTTTATCAGAGTGTGTAAGTAAGGACTGGGGATAGCAAGTGATGGACAGGAGGAGAATAGAGAAAGCGGGGCTTCCAGGAAGGGGCAGGACAGTAGATCTTTGCCTGTTCTGAGATTTAAAAATTGTAAATTAGGTTGGAGACCACTGGTGTAAATTAATAACTCTAGATGAAATTGGTGGACTGTTGTGAAACAGGCCTCTGTGCTCTTTGAGGCCTGGCCTATGGTATCTCCACTCAGGTCTTGATCTGTTAGCTTTCTTGTGGTGGGAACCTGCATTCCTCTCCCTTCTTTCTGGAGATTCTGGCCACAATTTCCTCTTGAAGCTCATTGTGATCACTGTAGCAAGTTGGAACTTAGTTCAGCTTAGTCCTGCTCTTTCCTGTGTACAGTGAGAGATTTTATCGGTGAACAGCCATCTTCCATAAAGGGAGGTATTTATTCAGGACACAGAACTCTACAGAGAAAACATATCTTGAAAACCATAAATACCTATGCTGTTTTACCACGTTACCCATCTTCCACATGGAGATCTTGGTAGATTTCAAGGTCTTCCAAACCTTTCATCATCAGAGTTTGTTCCTCTTGGATCCAAGAACTGATGTGAAACTATAACCAGTGAGAGTCCCACTCCCTTCTCACCTTGGCTAGCTGTCCATTTTGTACATATTTCCAATTTTTTTTGTCTGCTGGTTCTCAGGAACCTGTCAAAACAATTCTCTGCAGTTTCCCCCATGCTATGGAGAGCTTTACAGATGATGTTGGTTTCTGATAGTTTGTTCATGCTTAGTGACTTTCTCTCAGACACTGTATTGCTTGGCTTGTTTCAAGAGAGAAGTTTAACCCCTTCAAGCCCTGTAGATGATTAAATAAAATGAGAGATGAAATTGAGTGATGCATTCTTTGATAAGAATAAATCAGAAGTTTCCCAATTCTCTACAATCAGATTCTGTGTTCCATTTCACAAACAACTGCAATTTAGTGCTGTGTGAACCAGTCATCTTCCGTGTACCATATAGGGATGAAAGATGCTAGAGAAATATATTATCCTGGGAACTTCAGTGTAAACAATGTTTTTCTTTCTAAGCTTTTATACAGCGCTCTTTACTATGGTGTCTGTTATATATCCTTTCTATGAGACTGATTTTTTTTTTTCTTGTATCACTGCAGCATCCGGAGGCCTCATCAGGGCCCCATTCTCCAGGTGTTGTGCACATATTGTGTTAGGTAATGGGACTGTCTCTACCTGAAAAGTTCTATATAGACAAGACAGGCAAAGGGTTGGGATGGAAGTGAGAAAGTATTAGGCGCATTATATTGGTAGGTAACTGAGTCACCAGGAAATTAATGAACACCCCAATTTAACAAGTGCCTAAACTTAGGTCTGTGAGTAGTCTTATTTAATTTGTCATGTAAATAGTGCATATGAGGCCATTGTGTTGGGCACTGTGGAAATACAGAACAAAGAAATGTCTCCTGCTCCAAATAACTTAACTAAGACCAAACACAATAGGTGGACATTGCAAACAGACAAGGGGAGCGCAAGCAAACAGTAAGACTTGATAGGCGGTGGTCACAGCAATCCATAATTAGCTACCATTATTTACATTCAGTTTGTTAGCATTAAGCACTTTGTGCATAGCAAAATCCGCTACACATTGTATCGTTCCTATTTCCTCCACCTAAGCATTTGTTAAAGTAGAAGGCATCACTTCTTTGTCCAGTGTTCCCTGCGCGCTTGGGCGGCTGCTCAGGAGAAATTCAGATGCTTCACAGGTGATTAACAAAGTGCCCGCAGCTAGGTTTTTTTGTTTCTACTGGTGGTGCAATTCACGCATACCTTGGTGCACATACAAATTTATTCTGTACATGGATAGAAGGTATTAAAGGGAGCATTATCTGTCTCTCTTCCTCTCCTGGTGAGAATGGAGAATCTGCTCCATGGTAATTATTTTTTTCTTTGCGCCTCTCCTAGCAGGGTCTTTTGTAGGACCTTTCCCAGCTGCTCCCAGTTTGGGGTGAGCAGTGTTCCCTGGCACTGCATTTCTCTCATCCCTATGTCTGTTCTGAAATAAGCTCCTTAGCTATGACATTTCATATTCCCCTGGAGTAAATTCTTGAACCTTTTTAAAAATGGTTGAACCTCTCTAAATCAAGACTCTGGTCCAGCAACATCTGTAATCTGGCAGGATGTTGCTGTACCAGATAGTCCCGGTGCAGGACTGGAGGCAGGAGCCCTGTGGGAGCCGAGCTGGGCTGGCTGCAGAGGGGCTGGTGGCTGGAAGCCCTGCCCTGGGAATCTGGCTGGGCCAGTGGGCCAGGAGTGGAGTTGGGCTGGAGGGCTAGAAATGACCTGCCCTGGTCCAAGAGAGTCCCTCATTTGGGACTGGTCAGGCCCAACTTGTAACTACTCAGTATTAATGTTAGCCATATATTAAAGTTTCATGCTGTATCAGGTACTAAGGATATGTCTACACTATGCAGCTTTTAGCACCACGACTGTCGACACAGCTCTGTCACTAAAGTTAGAGCCTGTAAACACTGTTGGCACTTTTTGTCAACCAAATAATTCCACCCCAAAGAGGGGATTTTGCTTTGCTGGCTGCAGAGTGATCCTGCTGAGAAAACAGCATTTACACTTTCACTCATGGCAAAACTTTATCGTTCGTGGGAGGTGTGTGCGTTTAAGCAACTGTGAATGACAAAAGTTTTGTCAATCAACTGCAAGTGTAGGCATAACCTGAATGACTCACCCAAGATCTGTAGAGGAGCCAAGAGCTGAGGGCCAGTTCTCCTGAATACAGCCTGATTCCATAACCACAAGACCAGTCTTTTCTTTAGTGTGATTGGGAGTAAAATGTACCTGAAAATTCCTCCCCGCTCCCCACTCCTGTTCTGAAAGCCACTTCTTTTTCTGAGCGTGTATGTAGCTTTGAGTAGACATTCCCCAGCCCCCCGCTTCCCACTCCTGCTCTGAAAGCCACTTCTTTTTCTGAGCCTGTATGTAGCTTTGAGTAGACATTCCCCAGCCAAGTTCTGACATCACTGTCTATTTTCCATTTCTTTTTTTCCCCAAACCATGCGAAGATTTTTTTCCCCCCTACAATAAACATTTTCATCTCTGTAGCGGATCCTTGAACCTGATGATTTCCTGGATGATCTGGATGATGAAGACTATGAAGAGGATACACCAAAGCGACGAGGCAAAGGAAAAGCCAAGGTAATGCCAGTGAGAGGAATTAGGGTGCTGTGGGTTTTCTTGGTTCTGTCTCACTGGGCCTCGCCAAGTAATTCCGCTGAGTCTGCCCTATGTATTTTTCCTGAAGACTGAGACCACTACTCATTGTAAAGGTCTGTCACCATTAATGCTTGGGACCATGTTGTAAACACTATTCAGTACCACATTATATCCATATCCAGCATGATTACAGAACATGTTGCCACCATGGTAAGAACTAGAGCTGGGATTTCTGAAGAAGCCCATGGGAACTCCACTGACAACCCCCTCCCTCGCACTGTCACACTACCACTGGGGCTGGACTGTGTATGGCATTGGTGAGATCAATATTGAAATACTAGAACTGGACAGTGTCTGAATGTCAAAAAGAATGTTGAAAAATCATAAAGGGTATAGAACAGACACACACAAATTACTTAAGAGCTGGAGAAAATGCATGGAGAGATTTAGGGTGTATCTGTGTTGCAGTCAAACACCTGTGGGTGGTTCATGTCAGCTGATTCAGACTTGTGGGATTATAAAATTGCGGTGTAGCTATTTAGATTTGGTCTGAAGCCTTGGCTCTGGGATGTACTCTAAAGCAACGGTTCCCAACCACCAGTCTGCGGACTGCTAGCTGCTGATGGCAGTCAAGCTGGCTGTTCATGGGAGTTCAGCTCAGGCAGCCATGGTGGCTGAGGTGCGACAAGAGGAGGTGGAGCAGAATAT